CATCATCATCATAATCATCATCATGATCATCATCACCATCACCATCATTATCATCACCACCATCATCTGTGCACTGTGCCGTGGCAGCCACCCCGGGCCACCCCGTCGCTCGGGGCTGCACTCCTTTGGTACATTGCTGGCTTCCAAGACCATGATGCGAAAATCTGCCTGCACCTGGGTGATGCTATGACTGCGTGGAAAAAAATGGAATTGGAAGAGCTCCAATGAAGGTAGAAAAAGAATCAACCCTACAGGTTTGTCTGAATGTTAATGCAATCTACATCTTTCTTGCTTTGTTTCTTCACGGATTGATATACGATGTAATCCTAAGTGGATTAAATTGTTGGCTCTCAAAATCTGATGTTGGAACTGTGCAAATACAATTTTGTATATGTTTATCATGTTTCTTGTATTTTTAAACAGCATAATCTAACTTATTTGAAAAATAGTACACCTGAAAAACTATAAGTATAAATAGGGATATCTATCTATCTATCTTTCTTATCATCTATCTATATCTATCTATATCTATCTATATCTATCTATATCTATCTATATCTATCTATATCTATCTATATCTATCTATCTATCTATCTATATATATATATATGATATCATGTGTATATATATATTATCAAATGTAGATGTATAAATATGTCTTTTTTTCACGGAAAATTGATGAACAATGCTTTTGGGTTACCCTGACCGGAGCCGCCATCGACCTCGGTGATGCGACCTACTGCGACCCAAGGCGACCAGTGGGAAGCCATGTTTCACATGGTGGATTTCACCATGAAACCTGGTGGATTTCAGGGGAATTGACCACCAAACATAGGCATTGATATGTGATTTGTGAAGATTTGTGAAGATGTAAGTGGGTTTGTCTGAAAATGTTGGGTTAATCTTCCCAATGATATATAGCCATTTAAAAACGGGATTTTATGATCAGCAAAACCATTGGGTACGTTTAGGGGTACACGACATTTTCAGACACACCCAAGTTGGTTTATGACAAGTTGACTGGACCAGTTGGACGGGGTTCATTTTCACAACATTGGAACTGGAATCTTGATGAATCGATGGCAATAGTAGTCCAAAACAACTTGGGATGCACTATTAATGGCTATTAATGGTAACCAACCAGTAATACCCATGGGCTATGGGGCCCCCATAACTATGATGAAATAACCACTAATATATAACTGGAACTGCACCCCCTGTCGGACAGTCCTAAACCTGATCCGCCTGTCAAGCCAGCCCCAGCACACCAAGCGGCGCTTCCATGATGAACTGCGCTGGGCACTGATGGTTGAAGGCGGCGCGGGGAGCGAAGGCAAACAATCAATGACCAGTCAACATGAAGCTCCACTGGAAAGGTTACGAGTCATACAAGTCAGACGTGGATCAGGTGCGTATTTTTGACTCTTCATCAGGCACTTCCCCTGGCAGTTGTTACCGTGCTCATGTGATCTAAGTATTAAGAGACAGCAAGGAATCACGATTTGATAGGCTTCAATTCAAAGGATCGTGAAGAATGTGTCTGTTGTGTCGGATACGTCCCCTTCTAAACACAGTTGACCATGCCGGATATCCTGAGTAGTTTCACTTGGTCCAAGGTTTCTTGAAGATCTTGCACTTGCGATGGGCATCACTGGAACCAAACGCCGCAAGGTGCTCCCGGGAAGCTACGCTTAAACAGGACGACAGAGGACCTTAGTTTTGGCCCAGAAATGTGTGGCCCAGCATGTGGCCCAAACGTAGACTCGGTTGCCTTGGAAACAAAGCCTTTAGGTTGTTCAAGCTACTGGAAAGAACCATGAAAAATGACACTGCTGTTCTTTTTGCGCGTCGCCAGCGTGCAACGGCTCTGCGCCAGCGCAGCAGCCTTGGCCCAACTTTTTAGGGGTAAGTGTCCAGTGTCCAGTGTCCAGTAGAAAAAACGCATCAATGAGGAAACATGTGGGAAGTTTAATGATTCTTGATGTTCAATGGGAATTTAAATTCGATGAGGATAATTGTTATCGTCTTGATTTAACCACCGCACCAAAGGTGAACCCCCAATGATATGGCTTTATGAAGGAGTCACCATTGATAGTTGAATCAGTTGAATCCCATAATATTGGTGCATGGGACCGTGGTAAAACCAAGCAACTCTGCTTCTGGAACTCAACCATGAAGTTCGCTCCATCTCTGCCAACAGGAAGACCACCTGCTGGTGGCGTGGGATCACCTTTAGCACAATTTCAAGGGCTATCTCACCCCTCGTAACAGTGAAATGTGAAGACCATTGTCCTTTGATTGGTCTCCTCATGTCGCTTACTGTAGTTATTTGGGACTGTCCAAAAATGATGGATACCCAAAAAATTGCCATTTGCATTGGGAAGAATTATTTGCAACCATTTGTAGGTAGTCCATTTTCAGGTACCAAGCCCATTTCATCTCCAATTCTCAAAGCGCTTTTTCTTGGATCTCGTCACCCAACTGTTTCATTAGATCCCCTCAGCTATCCCTCAGCTTTGCTCTTTCATCCCCAATTTGTGTGTCACAGTTTGTCTGAAAATTGGGTATGTACCCCAAAATCCAATGGCAGTTTCCGTAGAATAAGGCAATTTTGGGGTATATACAATTTTTGGAGACACCCAAATCAAGTATATCCCCATGTTTGCTGGTTACAGTAGTTCCCAATGTCCATTGGTAAATCAGCAATTTGTGTCATATCCTCATATCATATTGATGTTTCTATTTATCCCACTATGTCCCAGTATTATGTCCCCATGACAACTATATACAAATATTTCTGGTTGGTTATATATACATCACTATAGTAATTATCCATAATTATCCCCAAAAATGAGATGGCACCTCATTCATCCCCAGCTGCTCTTGGTTGCTATGACCACGGTATCCCCATTCCTCCGCCAGGATTTGTTGCTCTGTGGCACCTCCCCAGACCTTCGGGCAGTCTCGCAGGCCGTCACCACGGCTGCCAAGGCCAGGCAGTTCGATGTGGCCTAGCTGGACGATGCTTAAACCAAGCCTCCGAAAACTGGGAATTCTGCAGGTTTTGTGGGTAAATCTACCCTCTGGTAAACTAACATAGCCATGGAAAATCACCATTTTTCATGGGAAAATCCACTATTTCAATGGTCATTTTCAATAGCTATGTTAAGTTGCCAGAGGGTATATATAGGAAATACCAGGGGGATGGCCCTTGGACGATTTGCCGTAACAGGGGCCAGGGCGATCACAATGGATTGGTTCAAGGGAAATTTGGCAGGAAAACCACATGATTGATGGTTGAGTCCTCATTATCAGATGGTATAGTCCCATGAGTGTGCCCTTATTATTGTCGATTGATGTCCCATCCATCTATTAGAATCACAATTGTTGTACAGTAGGTTAAATTCCCATTTTCACTGGTTAAATCCAGATCTTGATGTAGTTCCATCCCGATGTTGATGCTTAAATCCAAAAAAAATCATGAGGATAAGTCCGAATTTCATCGAATTTCGGTCAGTGTCAGTTCAGTCCAGGGATGTAACGTTCAAAACCCCCCATTCTTCTGGGGGAAGTCTCCCCTGTACGAATCTCGTGCCCCACCTGCAGCGCCATCATCTCCCAAAGAAGCGCCAGAGACGTCATCCAGGAACCTGCCGATCCGGAGATGGAGATCTGTCAAGTTACAGACATGGCAAATGCTGTTGGAAAAAGCATGGCAAAATCTGTGGCGACATCTTTGGAATATGGTTTCATGAATGTAATTGTATGATATATATAAATATGATTATATATACATATATATATATGATATTATATATATATATATATGTGTGTATAGATATATAGAAACGTAAACTGTCAAATATATCAGTTCCTCCCAACGATGGTCCCTTGGGATCTGAAGGCTTGCCCAAAGAAAATTCTAATGGGAAAACAAAAAACGGTCAGGATCCTTGGGGAAATGGATGGACATTGTATATGGTTTATCGCATTGGCTCTACATCGACCATCCCCAATTCAAGTGGTTGATGGTAGTGGGTGCACTGTTAATTTCCACATTCGATATCAGGTTTTTCTGGCATCTTGTAACCTGCTTGCAACTTTGATATCCCCAGTTCGGAGACTTCTCCACTCCATCATATCATACTCCGGTCTGATCGAAGATGGTGTATCTACCCACCATTGGTTGCAATTTGAATAGGAAAAAACATGATCAGAATCTGCTCAACCATGAGCTTTCATCGATACCAAAAATAGCACCTTATGCATTTACTTCAGGCACCAAGGGATGAATCATCAACCGATCTTGCCAGATATAAACCACAAGATGTTGGTCCCATCCACCATCCAAAACCCCAACCTGCCATCGCCGCAGCAGACACGGCCGCGGTGAAGGAGACGATACTCGCACCGATCAAGGTGTCCTGCATGTCCTGCAGGTGGTGGTTTTATCCAAAACCAGAAATGGGGGGTTCACAACTCGAGAAATGAGGAAATCATCAACAAAACTGGTTTTGATGGGATGAAAACCCATCAAAAAGGACCATGAAACCCAGGATGCAATCAATAGAAATTGGATTTCACCATGAAGAAATTGGAATGAAGATTATCGAAAACTATGAAAACTTGTGCAATCTGATTCAGGTGGAAAGAAAATATGCATGGAATCTTAAGCCCAGGCTAAAATTGCAGACCACAATCCAGGGGAATTATGGTTCAGGAGGAAACCCTGTTGCAAGGTAGTTGATCTGCTTTAGAGCATGAACCAACTAACCAAAAATGAGGACACCAATCACGCCGGGGTCCTCAGAAATTTCCCATGTTGGGTGCTTAAACATCACTTGAAATAGTTGCCTAAGAGTGAGAAAACAATTTGGAGGGACTACCCCTGCGTAAAGTTATGGATTACAGTGGCTCTTACAAGGTTGGATTACATCTACCAGAGCATAGTCGGTTCTTGAATTGAGCTGCGAATGGCTAGGGGTAGAGACAGCTAGAGATTATTCCTCACCAGCCTTCAACAGGTACAAAGCCAGTTGCCACTTGCGAGCCACCCTGACCATGGAGAAGGAACCCATGATGATCCGCAGGCAGTGTGTATAAGTGGCAGGGTTTGTCTGAAAATGTGGGATTTACATGGTTTTATGCCACTGTTGCACCCCAAATATGGCGTCATCTAAGTGCCATGTTGCAAGCTAAGAGCACCAACGACTACACTAGCCACGATCGACCGCACCCAAAGGTGCTGATGGCTGCATTGGCCGTCACCACGTTCTTTTCAATCCGCAACCGGGCCATGTCCTGCGACAGCGAATTGGCACCCGGTTCAGGAGTTTGGGGCCGAAACTCAGATGGAAACATCCGAGAAAGAGGCGTGAATGGTGACCTAAACCCTCCAGCTTGCGACAAATCCAGGCTATACTTACTATAGCCTTGCCATTTCTGCTGCTTCATCTTTCCAACTATGGTCAATTTCGAGCCGTCATGGTGTTAAGATGTGTAAAGCAAATAGTAAACTTAGTAAACCATGCCCAAATTCACCAACTTTGGGTTTAAAATTCCAACCTCTCAAGAAAAAGTCGGGGAAAAAATGGGCTGGGGCATTGTATTCATGAGCTAAACCCAATCATAAACCAAGAAAAATGTGGTAATGTTGGTAAAACAATGCCATAAGCCATCCCCCAGTCATCACCATTTTTCTAGGCGATATGTTTACCATTCCCAGTCATGGGTGGTTTCTTATTGTTTTAACCACATGAACCCCCTGATTTTCACCATCCCCCAGCCACCCACCTCCAAGAGTTGCTGTGCGCAGCGCCACTGGCCGCTCTGCTCGCAGCAAAAGATGGCAGCTCCATAGGTCACCACGTCCTTGGGACATTGGGATACCCTCTGGTAATTTAACATAGCTATTATATCTATTATTCACTTATCAAAGATGGTGATTTTCCATAGCAAACCGTTGGTTTCCCAGAGGGTATAATGGGATGTCAACTGGGATCTTTATCCCAACCATGAGACTTTTTGGAAACACAGGGATATACCAAGATACAATGGGATATGATATGATATTATATGATATAATGGTATATAATTATAGTTTAGGGGTATGTCAAGTGACAAAAATCATGTCCCCCAAAAGGTATCCCATGGCATATCCATATCGAGACTCTAGACCGCAGCCAGTCGGTTCTGGATAATCCGTGCTTGGCAAATCATGTGGCAAAACACCAAGGCCATTTATGGCCCCATAAAGCCCCGTGGATGCCAAGATGACCCATGGCTAAGATCACCCCCCATGACCCATGGATTGATCTTGTTGGTGAATCCATAGCCCTCATGATGCTCCGGTCCTTGCCAATTTCCCGTTGCTCCATCTCCTACCATGGCCCAAGACCAGTGGGACAGCCACAAGACCGGTCCCAAGATTTTTAAATGGGTCCCACGGTCCCAACAAATATGGTTATATGGTTTGGATTTTTTTCGATGGCTAGCCGCTATGGGTCGAAAATGTTTGAAACCCTGGATGAATCTTGACCTGGATCATGAAAACCCCATGAGCAGCGAAATCTGGGATTTCCGTGAGCCAAAAAAAAACATGTACACATCTCCAGGCTCCAGGAAGCAACAAAACAAATGTTGACACCCATCCATATTGACATGGAAACAGACGGAAAATAGATTTATTGTGCTGGACTTGACACATGATTATCATGATTTATTTTGGGTTGAAAGTTCCATGCGAGTTTGCGAGACAGCAGGCGAGTTCATGTGCAGCCGCAAAAGTCGACAACCCAAAGAGAACCACATTCCAGTGAAAAAGAACTCCCTCAGCAAGTGTTGGTGCTACAAGTATAAATGTAATCTAAATAAAAATCTATGTACGACAAATTATAATGTTATAGTTATACGTATTATCGAAGGAAGTTTAGAAGTGAAACTTCCGACAATATGGACAGTTGAAAAGCAGAGGTGAAAAGAGTCAGAAGAGAAAAGATCAGAAGAAAGAAGAGGTAGATGCGCGAAAAGATAGGAAAGTCGCGATTCACTGTGTTTTTTCAATGATTTGTGGCTCCGGAGGGTCGAAAAGTAGGCTCGCTAAAGCGGCGGGTGCAGAGCCAGCTGGCCAGATGAGACATGAAAAAGTGCACGCCGTTGTGGCGCGAAGCACATTTCCAAGTCAAAATGGACAAAACACACCATGGTCGGACCACTTTTGGAAGTTGCGATGTCCAAAAAGTGCACGCCGTTGTGGCGAAGCACATTTTGAAGTCAAAATGTGCAAAGCACACCATGGTCGGACCACTTTTGGAAGTTCCGATGTCGAAAAAGTGCACGCCGTTGTGGCGCGAAGCACATTTCCAAGTCAAAATGCACAAAACACACCATGTTCGGACCACTTTTGGAGGTTCAGATGTCCAAAAAGTGTCGAAAAAGTGCACGCCGTTGTGGCGCGAAGCACATTTCGAAGTCAAAAGTGTAAAAAACTGAGGGTTTTGAGCCTTTTTTGACGTTAAGATGTCGAAAAAGTAGACACTGATTAAGTTAACTAACTTGACTAACTTAACTAACTTCACTAACTTGACTACCCTTACTTCGACGACAACAGCAACAGCAACAACAACAACAACAACAACACCAACCACAACAACAACAACAACAACAACAACTACAACTACAACTACACAACAACTACAACTACAACTACAACTACAACTACAACTACACAACAACTACAACTACAACTACAACTAGAACTACAACAACTACAACAACAACAACAGCAACAACAACAACAACAGCAACAACAACAACTACAACTACAACTACGCAACAACTACAACTAGAACTACAACTACAACAACTACAACTACAACTACTACAACAACAACAAGAACAACAACAACTACTACAACAACTACAACAACAACAACTACAACTACAACTACACAACAACTACAACTAGAACTACAACTACAACAACTACAGCTACAACAACAACAACAACAACGACAACGACAACGACAACGACAACGACAACGACAACTACACTACACAACAACTACTACAACAACAGCAACAACTACAGCTACAACTACAACAACAACAACTACAACAACTACAACTACAAAACAACTACAGCTACAACTATATGACTGCAACTACACTACACTAATTACATTACACCACAACTACAACTCCACTACGCTACAACTACAACTACAGTTGCAGTACATCACACTACATCCAGCAGTTGTGGGTGGGGTGACCACTGCAACCATTGCAACCACCCCAGCAAACACAACTCCAACCACTTTTCGGTCAATCAGTGGATTCGCTCTGCCATCCGTGATTCACAACAACCAACGTCTCCTATAGGTTTCCTATTCTGAAACTTCCGCCACCGCCTTGTGCGGTACTACTGGTATATATATATATAAGTCGATATACCAAAAATAAGAATCGTAATAATCCAATATATATATATATATGATGTATGGACACATATATAGTATAGTAATCTATTATAGGTATCTTGATCCATCCACTCACGGCAGCCTTCATCAGGTCCAATGCAATCGACAGCTGCGAACCGCGCTCGCAGGCGGAAATGGCAGAGTTGTAAGAGATGCTGTTGGCTGTGACCTTGCTGATTCATCCCATCCCTGCTGATTGAACACCCTCATTGGCCCATTCATGCCCATTCTAAAGTCCCAATTATGTGGAATTTCCCATCCACCATGGTTTCTAGGTTTCGTTTGGGTGTTTAATATGAACGGGGGATGGGATTAATGGTTGTCCCCCATAAGAACCCTATTCAAAATTATCCGGCAAGAGACCCCAAACAGTCTGGGGGGGGGGAGTAAAAGGATAATGTATGATAATGCTGATGATGATGTTAATGTTGATGATTGGTGATATTGATGATGATGGTGATGCTGATGGTGATGGTGATGATGATGATGATGGTGGTGATGATGATGATGGTGGTGATGATGATGATGGTGAGGATGATGATGGTGATGATGATGATGATGGTGATGACGATGATGATGATGATGGTGATGGTGATGATGATGATGATGATGATGATGACTATGGTGAGGATGATGATGATGATGGTGATGATGGTGATGATGATGATGATGGTGGTGGTGGTGGCGGTGGCGGTGACGATGATAAGGATGATGATGGTGATGATGATGATGATGACGATGATGATGATGATGAGGATGAGGATGAGGATGAGGATGAAGATGAGGATGAGGATGAGGATGATAATGCAAAAGATGAAGTGGAGGATGAAAAGGTGGGGGCTTATGATGTAGAAAAGGAGGAAGATGATGATGTTGAGGAGGATAATGCTGAGGAGGGTGATGACAAGGATGAAAATGTTGCGGAAGATGAGGTGGATGATCATGATTTTGCGGAAGATGAGGTGGAGGATGATGAGGTTGAGGAAGACCGATCCCAAGACCGGGAAACACACTTTGTGCGAGCCTGCGCAGTCGAAAAGCATGTGGACATCAGAAGGGCCACGTTACACAGAAATTTACAGGAAAAATGCCGCGGCCCAGATTGAGCCCAGAAGACAGACGAACACTTTGTGCGAGCCTGCGCAGTCGTAACGCATGTCCACATGTCACAAGAGACATCAGAAGAGCCACTTTATACAGAAATTTACAGGAAAAATGCAGCGGCCCAGATTGGGCCCAGAACGCGGACACACACTTTGTGCGAGCCTGCGCAGTCAAAATGCATGTCCACATGTCACAAGGGACATCAGAAGAGCCACGTTATACCGGAATTTACAGAAAAAATGCCGCGGCCCAGAATGTGCCCAGAACGCGGACGAACACTTATGTGCGAGCCTGCGAAGTCGAAACGCATGTCCACGTGTCACAAGACATCAGAAAAGCCACGTTATACGGAAATTTACAGGAAAAATGCCGCGGCCCAGATTGGGCCCAGAACGCAGACGAACACTTTGTGCGAGCCTGCGCAGTCGAAACGCATGTCAAGATGTCATAAGAGCCAATTTATACGGAAATTTACAGGTAAAATGCTGCAGACCAGAGTGAGCACCCTGATCAAGCACCGGCCTTTACACCTACCGTAAGAACCCTCAGTGTGGACACACTGTTTGGGGAATAATGTTTCTGTGGTGTTTTTTACCAATAATGATATTTAAAACTGAAAAAATACGCGTGCTTTATGCTATTTAAACAACAAAAACAAAATGGTGATTTAACCACCAAATATTGGCGATTTATTCTTTACAATGGTGTGATATCCCAAGCTTTGTCAATTACCAAAAACGGTGATTACCCAGAACTGTCCCAAATTATGCGATTGAATCATCAAAAAATGTGGATTTTGACATCGATTAGGTGGTCCAAAATTGGGATGAAGTACAGTAACCTTGGGGACTTTACCAACAAAACTTGGGATCAAACCAGCACAAAAGGGTGGGTAATCAATCCGCGAATAGAGGGTACTCCAACCTGGCTCGGTAATCCCCAAAAATCAGTCCATGATATGCATGCATTAAATCATCGATGATCTGAATACTATTACCCCAGGGTAAACTAACATAGATGTGGAAAATCCACCACTTAAAAGATCGTGTTCTTCAAAAACCCTGGGGTTTCATTGGTTTCCACATCGTTTCATATGTCTAGCCCAGGGTATCCCAATGATATTCATTAAATCATTGATGATCTTAAAAAATATCGATATGAATCCTATACCTATCCCATTGATATTTGTTGCTAATTATCCAAAACCCTATTAATATCCTATTCATCCCCATTAATAGCCCCATTAATGTCCCAATATCCTATTACTATCCTATCAATCCCTAATAATATCCTATTGATATCAATCCAAACCCTATCCCCACCCCATCGCCTGCATCCTTTCCATCTGCCGCAGTACTTCCAGCGCCCTGCGCCACTCGCGGCCCTTCTCGCAGCACGCCACGCAAGCGCTCAGGGTGACCACGTTGGGGCGCAACGTCTCGCGGAGCCTCGAAAATCCCGGTGAACAACGGCCGGTTTTGGCCACTGAATATGCGGGGTTTAAAGACAAATCGAGAGTTTTGACTATGAAACATGGGAATTTCATGGGATTTAACAAGCAGAGATGGTGAGTGAATCATAAACATGGTTGATTTTGCAATCAAATTATATATGTGAAGGTTGAATCATGAAAAAAGGCGAAATTTAGCATCAAAACACGCTGATGTCATAATTTACCAACCTGAAATGTTTGGTCATTTGTGGGCGGTTCACTTGACTAACCATCGCTTTTTATGGCAATGCTCTACAATTGACATGAGCAGTGGTACCTAATGAGTGGATGCTCCATTCAGCGAAATGCTGGATGTCATAGGGGCTACTCCCTGATCTAGGGATTCGTTTGACCCAGCATAGGAATCTGACGTTCATCAATTTTTACCCACCATCTATTCATACCACATGAATATCCCCCCATGGGATTCCATGATTTGCCGTATTAACCACAGAAATTGTTACCTTTCTGCAAGGGCAGGCCAGCAGATTCAGCTGAATCCCAGTCTGAAGAACCCAAGGGGGACGCAGGATGCGACCATTGGAATAGGAAAACCCAAAGGTTCTTAGCCCCAAAGGCCATCTTTACGCAATTCTGACCAAAAAACTTGGATGTAATTGAAAAAATACATTCTGAATGGGAGGTTTCCTTGGTCAACGACCCCAAACCAAAACATGCAAACAACACTTTTGTCCACCAAAAGGATATATCAAGGCTCATTTGGAATCAAATATGGCCATTGGAAATCCCGGAACTAAGGTGAACTAAATGGAGGTTTCAACGGGTAAAACAGCTATACAGGCTATACATGGGAGATTGTCCATTGCAACGTTGGATTACCGGAGAGGGTACATCAAGCATTTCTGCCAAGCACAAGGTAATTGCAAGAAACATGTTTTCCAGCAGGAGCAGCATCACGCTCCAATTCCCTGCTTTTTCACAGCTAGAGATGGCAGCGCTATAGGACACCGTATTCCTGCGAGGATGCGAAAACGTTGTTTCAACAGGGGTCAAGGGCAACACAGCAGACCAGCTTATAAAAACACGTTTGACTGATTGGATATAAGCCTTCATAAGCATCCTAAATCCAGCCGATGGTTAAGTATCCCCTCATATCCCAATGAGTTTTGTCTCCCATGAAGACGGGTTTGTCTTCGAGAAGAAACAGAAAACCCCGAAACCCACTGGCGAAGCGTCATTTTCCCTGTCAACATTGCTGTTTTCGGATACACGCAAGATACCTATGTACCATGGCTGATTTCCATGCGTTTGTACCATGGCTGATTTCCTTGATTCAGACTTGATGCCTTATGTTTCTAGGCAGTTTCCCATACAGTGCTTTGTGGCGTCACTCTTTCACTCTTCTGTGTCAGCTGAAGTTGATGCGGCCAGGGCCAAGTTCGTTGGCCGGATAATTTTGAGGATCTTATCTGAAGTTGCACCGATGCAAAATCGTGTCCAAACTGGTCTGCACGTATTATTTAAAGGCTACTGCGGTAACCTTAAGGGTTGCTTCTTAGTACTGATGTTGCCTCACAGGTGCTGTTACTTGGTTTACTTTCTTTGTGTGCGTCACAACGACCCGCTCGGCTCTGCCCGCGGGTAACGCGTGGCCCATTTTCACCTCTCACATATCTGCGTTTAACTCCCAAGTGAGCGGGATTAACTCATATGTTCATATGCTCATATGTCATGATATATATATATATATCTCTATCTATATCTATATCAATATATTATTTGTGGAATTTTGTGGACAACCCCCAGGGGGAGGTACCGTATTCATTTTAACCCCATGAAAGCACCTGAGATCACATCAAAGCGCCAACCAGCCATTTAAGCTACATCATTTACGTTACGATGTTGGCCCGGCCAAGGTGATTTCCAATTGACACAGCCTATGTGAGGGGGATAGGTTCCTTCAACGATAAGATAGATGGTTCATAGTCTAATACACCCTAGGTGATGGTGGTTACCATCTATCATCTTCTAATTTAGAAATAAAAGGATAAACCCCTATCATTAAATATCAAAAAAACATGGCCTCCACGGGCCTTTGCCTTCTATCATCGTTTTCGTTATATGAGCCGGGATTAATTAAGGAAACCTCCCTTCAAAAGAAGAAACTATAGGTTGTCCTAGTGGGAAAAGAAACCAAATCATCTTCAGCAAATCCAGGATGATAATGAAATCCCCATGAATTCGAATACAATGGAAACTTTTAACCCCAAAAATTAAATAGACAACCAGCCCTGGGTTTACTGCTGACGTGTAGTACCCGTCATGGTAGCTGGCACCTCGGCCCTGCCCACAAGAGATGGAGCGCCAGTTGCCAGGTCATTCCACACGCGCTGATGGCACTGCTGAAGGTCACGATGCTCTTGGGCACCTGCCCCGAGATCACCGTACCGGAGGCCGGTCAACGAATGAGCCAAGGATCAATGGAAGCCTCATTTGAAAATAGGGACTTTTGCCGAAGAATGCTGAGTTCACCAAAATTGGGACTGCACCAACTAGACGTGGGACTTCAGCATCAAAAGAACTCAATATTTCACCCACAAACACTCTGCTCATGAACCAAAAATTGGCGATGAAGAAATTCCACGAACCAAAACTGGCATTTTTCCAACGGTGGAAATGGCCGGAATCTGATGAAGACTTCGACGGATTGATCTTAAGATGTTCTAACCACCAAAAATAGGGAAATAAACCAACGACGGCATATCATGGGGACTACATATGGGATGATGTAGTTGAATATGGTTACGGTCTTTATGTATATATAGGTTTATAATATGTATAATATATATATTGCCAGATGTGGCAAAAATATGCAAAAATGATGGTAAACGGCTGGTTCAATTTTTGCGACAAACCCAAATCTAAACAGTTTTAACAAGCAAAAAAAGGTAGAGCTCAAAAAAATGCAAAACAAATCCCAGCAAAAATGAGGTTCAGACAAAAATGCAGGTTAGAAGGATAGGATAGAGCCAATTAACTCGTGGGATGTGGACATGGCCACAATAAACAAGATGTTGTTTTCTAGCGCTGCCAATTGCTGGTCGTCAGACCACAATGCTTGTCATTTTGGTGTGTCTTCACATCGGCGACCATCGGCAACCACCAAACTTGTGTCATTGGCATGGAGTTGGCTAAGTGGTTGTCTAACATCGAAACCATGTCAAGTTGAAGGCGCACAAAAAAATCACCCCTCGAAAATTACCCTCTGGTAAACTAACATAACTATAACTATGGAAAATCACCTTTTTTAATTGGTAAATCAACTATCAATAGCAATTTTCAATCGCTATGTTAGTTTACCAGAGGGTACTGGATATTGCCCTTGTTGGGATTGTTGGCTTCCATGACTTCGCGTCGCAGCCAAATACACAGCAAATTTTCACGTCGGAGCCACAATTCGCCGAACTCCCGCCGCTGTATCGCCCACCATGAGCGCATTGCGGCCCCGGCCCCCGCACCAGAGATACATATGATACTTGGGGTCGATTTGAAAAAAAAAAACGATTTAGGCTCGTCAACAGTTGAGAGCCTGGATGAAGCATCGGGCTGAATGAAAGCTATGATGGCACAGCAGCACAACCGCTGTCTCGGTTGCTAGGTTCCTGCTGCAGAGCGATTCATGCAGCGCTGTTGGTCTTGCAGCGGTCATTGGATTGATAGAACGCCTTTGAAAACACAGAAATTCCACCAACATTCCACCAAATCATGCCATGTTTGAATTCATTTGACATCGTAGTATCTCGTTCCCTCCGTCACTCCAAATTCGGGTCCACATAATACTGTACATTACTGCAACGCGTTGAAGCAATGTCACCTTCACTTTTTTGCTTGACCACTGCACGAATTGGTCGCTGTGTGAGATGTGCATGGGCAACCGACCTCCGAGTGAAGGGGTTTTAATCTAACGCTGAGCTGATGCTGACAATTGCTCTCCTGATTATCACATATATGGGGATGGTTAAAACATGGTAAAACCGTAAAACCTATGATACAAAATATTTGCTGGGGATGGACCCCGCATAACTTCCACCTTTTTTGATATTCACAAGCGGCAATTGCCCATGGCCAAATGTCCCGCAGCCACTCATGAGAGGCGTGCACGGCCAAGGTCTACACACAAAGTTTCGTTCGTGGCGCATGGGAATCCCATGGAATACCCCTTTTTGATGGACGAATCACCCATGACGCCCATGTTTACTGTGTAATGTTCCCTACCATCCAGGAATGCGGCGTCTTGCCATATGTTTCTGAAAGGATACACGCCATCCAAACGTAACGTGGAACCTCTGACTGGCCATGTTCATTGTTTGCGTTGCATGTGAATTTAAGGGGTGTACCGATCATGTACCCATCGTTTCAACCGTCAGCTACTCAGTTGTGTCTGACTGGCCGCGATTCTCTCCATGTGCGGCCGCAGCTGTCGGACAACATCCCAGACGTTCCACCTGCCGCAGTTGTCTCAAAATTCTGCCCCCACTGATCCCCCACTGTAGGTATCCACCTGCCGAGGGTCACAAATTCTGCTCATGCTGAGCCCTGGGCTCCACCCGACTGTCCGGCTGCCAACTGTCAAGTACAGAGTCAAAATGTCAGTTATGGCCCGAAATACCAGTTATAATTATAAGCCCATTTATAGAATGTATAATCCCATTTATAACCAGTTGTAACTAATAAATGGCCACAACTGTAGAATGTCAGAATGCCAGATAAAATGCCAGATCGAACGCCTGAATATCATACGTGAGATGCCGCATGCCAAATAACATGCAGAATATATGTCAGATAGAATAAAGCCTGATAGAACGGCAGCATACCTGTGGTATGTGTCAAAAAAATGTCAGAACATATGCAAGATAGAATGTCAAATAAACTGTCAGAATATATGTCAGACAGAATGCCTACCGAAGACAAAAGAGCCAAGTAGAATGTCAAAATATTTGTCAGATAAACTGTCAGAAAAAATGCAAGATAGAATGCTAGCATATATAGGTCAGATAGAATGTCAAATCAAATGTAAGAATTCTTAATGTCAGTTGGTGGGGATCACTCGAAGAAAGTAATTCAAACCATGGGATGAATTAAGGGGTTCCCAATTTCGAGACAAATCCAAAGAGATCAGTCCTTCCCGTGCCTCCCACAATCCCCGTAAATAGACCCTCAAAATGAACGGATTGAATATGATTGAATTGATTCAACTCAACCAATGTTTCTGTGGGGTTTATGACAGTTCAAAGGGGAGGGAGTATACGGACGAAGAATATGAGGCCCGAAGCTGGGCTCACAATGCTTCCAGTGGCGAAGCTGCATGTTGTCACTGTCAGTATACCTAGTATACATGAACACAAAACAGAGCTGATGAGACTGATTGTTCTCAACTCAAGCACTAGCAGCCAGAAAAAAACACTGGAAGCAGCCTTTCCTGATCGAATTGTCGCCACCTTTTATAGTTGAGTAAACCGAGGGATGAAATAGCGGATGAGCCACCGTTTTCCTTGGCCAAGCCTTGGCCTGTTTTCATGATGAAATGATGATCATTGTGATATACCAGTGGATTTTTTAGTACTACTCCATCCAATTTCAAACAAACCCAAATCAGGAGCTCATCTATTGATGTCAATACAGGAACAAGGAAAAGCAGCAAACGTGTGGAAACTTTTGTTTTTTGTTCCTTCGTTCTTGTTCCATTAGATCATTAGAACTTCTGTTGAGGAGATTCAAACACTACCAGGGAAAGTGCCCCTCAAGAACACTGAAGGCAACTTTTCCTGATCGTCAACACTCAGCTCAGAAGTGGTCCTCATGGTTTCTCACTTGTTCCTGGATTCTTGCCCTCCTTCGCTTCTGTCTGCTTCAAACCTGCACCCGCGGAATCTTCCGGCTGCGCCGGGGGATCATCTGGTTTGGTGCCGTGGACACCACTGCTTTCTGCAGCAACCAAAGATCCCACACCGTCGCCGGCTGGACCTTCGGGAGCCACAGCGGGGGCCGCGGCGGGGGGCTGAAGGTCTCCGGCCATCCCCGCATTGGCCTCGCCGACATTGGCCTCGCCGACATTGGCCTCGCCGACATTGGCCTCGACGACATTGACGTGCCCGGCACCGTTGCCTCCATGCACCACGGGCGCAGGCGGACGGTTCCACCGAGGAACGAAGATTGGAGCTGTTGAGTCTAAGGCACGGTCACTGAGTCTGTCCAACAGCCTTTGCGGAGGAGCCTCCAAACCAAGGGCGTGAACAAGGTGCAAGTCGCCCATCGGGAGTGATGCAAGTCGAGCCGCTACTGTAAGCCGATCTTTGAGCCAAGAATCTTCCAGAAATATCCAAAAGGCATTGCGATTGACAACTCCTCTGGAAGCTACCTCTGATTTCAAGGATGAAAGTCATTGAAAGTCGCCCTGAGCTCTTTTTTGGTCCAGAAATTCCACTAGTTGAACACAAAAGATGACCGTTACATACATACTGTCACTACAAGGTCTCATGTATCAAAAAGTGTCATACTTCCGCACTCTAAGACATCATTGGTGCAGTCGGCAACCACCCAATTTTTGTACACCTCGCAGCACAATCCGTTCAGAGGTTCCAGTGGACAGGTGGTCCACGGGAGAGCACCGTGGAACAAGCAATGGGGAGAGGCCTCCAATCCTCAAACGTTTGTGCTTCGACACGAGCCGCAGCCGCGGTTCCCCGCTTTCATCCGCTTTCTGTTGGCTTTGCAGCGGTCAAAGATGCTTTGAGAATCTTGGAAAAATGTCCATAGGCAACCTCTGCAAGGCTGGATGATGATGATGATTCTGCTTGTGATTTCTAACCCATCCCGAAAATGTGAGAGTCAATTTGAATCATCGCAGGGTTTGAAAACAAAGAAGTGTTTGAAACCACTGAGTGGTTTCGATGTGAACATTGATTCAAAATGTCCACCACCATCATTTTCCCCATTGAAATTGCCACAAAAAGTGGGCTAGATATACCCTATTTCCAGACAAAATCAATTCATATTGTTGGCTATATTCAATATTAAATCCCCAGTGTTTCATCAGAATACCTGGTCCAAATATCCTGCAACATGCTCCTGATGATGGACTGGTACCCTGCAGCCAATGGATCCAGTCGAAAACAAACATGATTTTCCGTTCGCAAAATGTGATCTGCAAATGGTTTGTTTTGCATGGCCTTCCATATCTATGCTGGTTTTATGGAGGATGACTCTCCTTTTTGTGATCCTCAAATCAATCAGTGTGGGCACTGTACAAACCAATGTAAATAGCAAAGCTCCGTGGGAGCACCAAGGTGAATCAAGTTTAGAACGGCTTGAAAAACATCTGGCAGGTTCTAGACAGCCACTTTCCACCAACCAGCCATGCTTGGACGAAGTCACATGAACGTAAGGTTGCCCGTGGCCTATCATCCAGCATCCACTTGTCGCATCCCGTCAATCACCCATAAAATTCTCGATTTTGCTGTTTCAATCCTCGTGAACTGAAAAATCATCCCAATTGTTGATTCTGTCCTCGTTTTTCATGATTTTCATGGTGAAATCCCAGTGTTTGTTGACGAAAAAACCCGAGATTTAATGATTTTGATGGTAAAAATAACCCAAATTTTGACGTTGTCGGCGTTGGAAGGGACAACAACAATCGTGGGAGTTGGGTTATCCCCCGAGAAGAGCCCACAAGTCCATATTCAGCACCAGGGTCATCACATTTTTACTCTTGGCCCACAGCAATGAGTTTCACTATCCAGTGTCATCGTGGGGCGGGGCATAACCCGAAATAAGGGATCAAATGACCAGCCATTTGTGGGTGAAACACATACTGCAGAGACTAAAAACCCATAGCAATTTCTATCCCCAAATCATTGTTGATCACTAATATTCATTCATGTGTATCTATATATATATATATTATTATTTATTTATATATATATATATTATATATGTAGCATGTATACATATGTAGAGAGAGAGGGAGAGACGCCAAAAAGATTCAAAAGAAACTTGACATTTGCTAGGATTTTCCTTTTCTATCTGGGGGCTGCTGTATGTGCCACACTACTTGATTGCCAAAGAGATCCATCTGGGACGCACACCCTGGCAGATTTGAACCGCGGTCAGCAGCTGCCAATAGCAATATGGCTATGGGTCAAGTGCTTAGGTATCCCTGAACTGGATGGCTCTCTGAATATCATAAAATATTGGATATGTTTTAGATCAAGCTCTGTTGAAGGACCAATACGTGTTTGAAGCCCATTTCAAAGTTCTGGTCAAATTGTGTTGTTTTACGGTTGGATGTTTGGGTTTACCACTTTACCACTACCTTACCACAGAACACTCATACGCAGACCAGTCATGACCTGCACCAACATAACTTGACCATTGACCCATACCCGTACACAGAAGTCACAATCTGTGCCCTGTGCCTCAATTCAAACGCCAGAGATTACCTCACCCTCCATACTTCCGCAAGTCAAGCGAGCGGAGCGAGGTTTTGAGGTTTACGATATACTGGTAGGGGATGAGCCACCATGTTTCTTGGCCTTCATGGCCTATCTTGCATGGTAAAATGATGATTAACGTGATCAACCAGTGGATTTTTTAGTACTACTCCATCCAATTTCAAACAAACCCAAATCAGGAGCTCATCTATTGATGTCAATACAGGAACAAGGAAAAACAGCAAACGTGTGGAAACTTTTGTTTTTTTGTTCCTTCGTTCTTGTTCCATTAGATCATTAGAACTTCTGTTGAGGAGATTCAAACACTACCAGGGAAAGTGCCCCTCAAGAACACTGAAGGCAACTTTTCCTGATCGTCAAACACTCAGCTCAGAAGTGGTCCTCATGGTTTCTCACTTGTTCCTGGATTCTTGCCCTCCTTCGCTTCTGTCTGCTTCACACCTGCACCCGCGGAATCTTCCGGCTGCGTTGGGGGATCATCCGGTTTGGTGCCCTGGACACCACTGCTTTCTGCAGCAACCAAAGATCTGCCGTCGCCGGCTGGACCTTCGGGGGCCACAGCGGGGGCCGCGGCGGGGGGCTGAAGGTCTCCGGCCATGCCGACATTGGCCTCGCCAACATTGGCCTCGCCGACATTGGCCTCGCCAACATTGGCCTCGCCGACATTGGCCTCGACGACATTGACGTGCCCGGCACCGTTGCCTCCATGCACCACGGGCGCAGGCGGACGGTTCCACCGAGGAACGAAGATTGGAGCTGTTGAGTCTAAGGCACGGTCACTGAGTCTGTCCAACAGCCTTTGCGGAGGAGCCTCCAAACCAAGGGCGTGAACAAGGTGCAAGTCGCCCATCGGGAGTGATGCAAGTCGAGCCGCTGAGCCGATCTTGAGCCTGCCAACTCTCCTGATTGGACCGGTTGTCAAGCCGAAACACAAAGCATGACTGTTGCACACCGTCAATACAAGTAACTATGCACCATTGTTTCATTTGAATCTTCGAAGCAAACAAAATGCTGCCAGCCTTTCTGTAGATTATTCACATACTGTTCCAGGGTTTATGTACTGTAGAAATCGATCACCAAGTGAGTCAAGACGGGCCTCCGAGTACCCTGTACCACAATGCAGTGGCATTTCTGACGCTGTGCAGCCGGGTCCCAGACTTTGTTTGACTGTGAATCTACAGTGGGTTGGAAACCTTTCAGAGCAGCTTGGATTCTTGGATGCCTCAAAATCAATCGGTTTCCTGAGTTTCCTGTGGAGGATTCAACTCCAATGGGACCCCCTTGCATCATCCAGCCGTCATGGATGACCATTCGCTTGAAACCATGGTGACGACTGGGGATCCCCCATGGCCCATGGCAATCCTTGCCTGCAAGTCATCCATCAGCTGCATGAGTTGCAAGACGGCTTGTAGTTGCCTTGGGACTTCCCCCAAAACTGCTGGCTTTTACTCAAATGACCAAGGTTTGGTGTAGCAAGGACCCACCGATGAGAAAAGCTACGATCAAATGAGTTCTTCTAGGATCTTCTAGGTAGATTCTATAGGTTCAACACGATTTTCTGCAAGGCTAAAATGACTGCCACCTTACGAACCCCCTACTGTCATACAGAAGAGGCGTTTCTTTACTGCTGGAAGTCTGCCGCGCTGAGCATGGCGCCCGCAGTTCTCGCAGGCGCAAATGGTGGCGTTGAAGCAAATTGTATCAGGCTCGCAGTCATCCTGGGAAACGGCTGCAGCTGGGATCGATCCCATGTTTGATCCCATTGCGGGTCAAACTCTTCAAAATCGATGAGTTGATCCTGCTTCAACCCACCGGTGAATTGTGTGATCCAGAAATCATATGACCTCCAACACTATGGGACTTCCCGGACCTTCCACTTTCGGTCCATGGTTTCATCAGGTTTATGCCACTCAACAATTCATGACATGTTCCAACTGCCGATCCGAAAGAATGCCACAATCAATATTATATATATATATATATATGGATTTGTCTGAAAATGGGGTAGACCCCAATTATGGTCATTTCGGGAAATTGATAATAAGCCAATATAAGCCACTGGATTTTAAGGGGCATCCATGGGTATCCTATTTGCAGAGCCATATTGGACTATCCCCATTCAGCCATCTCTCCATTGTCCATGTACCAATATTTACAACAAGGGCACCCGCCATATTGAAATGTCCCATGTTGTTTTTCATCTGTTCCACATCCGTTGGGTATTGGAAATGTGGTTGTTCCGTTGTATGTGTGAGGTAATGTTCCGGAGTCTCTTCTACTTACCTTCCTCAACATTCCCATGCATTTCCCACACTACCACATCTTGCCGCACTTTTCTCTCACTCACCCAGTTTAACGGTTAATCCCATGTTTTGTTGGTTAAATCCCACTTTTCATCGGCTAGCCCCCCCATCTTTGCTGGTTAAATCCTATTTGTTTCACATATTTTTGGGGGATTAGTTCAAGCGCGAAAATCATCTCCTCACATGGAGGTTTCCTAAAAATTGGGGATCCACAATCGTCACCATAGGTTTCAATACGAAATCATGGTCATCCATGACGACTGGATGATGCACCAAGGTGCCCCTACTTTGACGACTGGAAACTCATGATATTCCCAACGGATATTTTCCCATTAAAACCCTCCATGTTTCCCATAGTTCCAACGGATTTTCCCATTAAAAGCCCCCATGGAAAAGCCAAGTTTTTCGCTGACGTCTCCTGCATCATCTCCTCCAAAAGCTCCAGCGCCAAGATCCAGCGCTCCGTCAAGGCACTGAGCACACAGCTCAGGTGAATCACCTGTCGGAGGTAGAATCCATGGCTATCCCATGGCTGAATGGAGATCTTTTATGGTAATTATCCACAATAATAATAAGAATAATAATAATAACAGTAAATAATACAGTAAATAATATAGTAAACAATACACTAAATAATATAGTAAATAATATAGTAAATAATATAGTAAATAATATAGTAAATAATATAGTAAATAATATAGTAAAAAAACAGTAAATAATATAGTAAACAATATAGTAAATAATATAGTAAATAATATAGTAAATAATATAGTAAAAAAATACAGTAAATAATATAGTAAATAATATAGTAAATAATATAGTAAATAAAATAGTAAATAATACACTAAATAATATAGTAAATAATATAGTAAATAATATAGTAAATAATATAGTAAATAATACACTAAATAATATAGTAAACAATATAGTAAATAATATAGTAAATAATATAGTAAATAATATAGTAAAAAAAATACAGTAAATAATATAGTAAATAATATAGTAAATAATATAGTAAATAAAATAGTAAATAATACACTAAATAATATAGTAAATAATACACTAAATAATATAGTAAATAATATAGTAAATAATACACTAAATAATATAGTAAATAATATAGTAAATAATATAGTAAATAATATAGTAAATAATATAGTAAATAATACACTAAATAATATAGTAAATAATATAGTAAAAAAATACAGTAAATAATATAGTAAATAATATAGTAAATAATATAGTAAATAAAATAGTAAATAATACACTAAATAATATAGTAAATAATATAGTAAATAATATAGTAAATAATATAGTAAATAATACACTAAATAATATAGTAAACAATATAGTAAATAATATAGTAAATAATACACTAAATAATATAGTAAATAATATAGTAAATAATGAAGTAAATAATACAGTAAATAATATAGAAAATAATACAGTAAATAATATAGTAAATAATACAGTAAATAATATAGTGAATAATACAGTAAATAATATAGTAAATAATACACTAAATAATATAGTAAATAATATAGTAAATGCTACAGTAAATAATATAGTAAATAATATAGTAAAAAATATATAGTAAATAATATAGTAAATAATATAGTAAATAATATAGTAAATAATATAGTAAATAATATAGTAAATAATACACTAAATAATATAGTAAATAATATAGTAAATAATATAGTAAATAATATAGTAAATAATACACTAAATAATATAGTAAATAATATAGTAAATAATATAGTAAATAATATAGTAAATAATACACTAAATAATATAGTAAATAATATAGTAAATAATATAGTAAATAATATAGTAAATAATACACTAAATAATATAGTAAATAATATAGTAAATAATATAGTAAATAATATAGTAAATAATACACTAAATAATATAGTAAATAATATAGTAAAAAAAACAGTAAATAATATAGTAAACAATATAGTAAATAATATAGTAAATAATATAGTAAATAATATAGTAAAAATAGTAAATAATATAGTAAATAATACACTAAATAATATAGTAAATAAAATAGTAAATAATACACTAAATAATATAGTCAATAATAATAGTAGTAGCAGTAGGAGTAGTAGTAGTCGTAGTCGTAGTCGTAGTAGTAGAAACAATAATGATGGACATTGACTTTGAAAAACGTTAATTCTGTAATGATCCATGATAATCCACTTGTGCCATGGTGCAGGTACATGGGAATGTGCGATGGTCATCCATCCCATCATAGGAATCCAACATAATGGGTATATTAAACACTGTAAAAATGGATTGCTGACCATTCCCCACTTATGGGGAAGGCCCGGAAGAAAAAGATGCTGCTTCAGCGTACCAAGAAAGGTGAATTTTGACCATAATATATAGATAAATTAGATTTTATATATTAAAATTGGTTGAATCAAAAAACACTGGATTTAAGCGTACAACTTGGGACTTAAACTCATTAAGGTGAAGAATCTACCCCATCATGGTGTAGTTTCTCAATCCCCATTATGTCGATAATTGCGCCAGTATACCCCTAATGATGTCGGTGGATTACTAGACTAGTCCAAATGACCAATCAGATCAGGTCGCATTCGGACATCTACATCCGATTTTAAGGCTGCCTGGTTTATCCCTGGCATGGTTCGATTTGCTGGTTACAAGCGGATTTTGTGGTGTTTGAACAGTTGAACAGATGTTCCTATGCTTATCAAATATCTTCCACACAGTTTCCAAATGTGTGTTCCATTTTTTTACTCCCCCAGTACTTTTTTTAACATGCCTCCATGCCTGTCACACCTTTGCCCACACATTCCCACCTTTCTGCTAGGCAAATATCACTTCTCTGACCCTTCCCGCCTGCCCCTATACTTTATGTCCATGATAATCAAGGTGTTTCCCATGACTATCCATGACTATCCATCTAAAATACCTATAATATTCCATATACATATACGACATATAAATACACATCGAAAAACATAGATCTGCACACAGATCTATAAATATCTGGATGGGTCAAAACCTATTATTAGCATATGGCTGGGGAAATCAGCATCCATAAATCCCAGCCAGTTTAGGGGACCATCCGGGTACCAGGTCTTTTGACCAATAACCATATAATCCAGATATATCTGCATCCAATATATGAAACCACCAGGGCAAGATAATCATATATTTAAATCCCATATAATCATATGGAGGTTTCCTAAAATAGGGGTAAATCATTTATTTTATAACAGGATTGTCCATTCTAAATCATCCAGCTATTGGGGACCCCCATAGGTTTCCCCCCTTTCCGCATGACGCCATGTGGCGTTCGCTTCCTGCGCGTTTTCGTGCAGTTCCCTCAGCATCTGCAAACTCTGGGGCCACTGCTGGCCTTTGGCCCAGCGGTTCAGCTGGGCAGTGAGCTGCCTGGAGCGGTGGAGGGACGACTAGGGGATGAGAATGGGATCATTTTGAGTTGGGGAGATTTAGAGATGTTCTATTTTATGTGTATATTATACATATATATATAATATATATAATACAATAACAATAACCTTCGCTGCGTCAAGTGTGGTAGAGATGTAGCCAAGCACGAATTGATTCATGGTCAGTGATTCCTCACTGGTGGAAAACATCACTACAGCACGGCATTAAATGGTGAGATGATTCGAATGCACTGTTCGGCAGAAATAAAAGTAATGGCGAAAGAAGGAAGAATAAACATATGTTTATTTAATTTACAGTACATATTTAGGCAAGAATAGGAATTATAATGAAATTGATAGTAATAATCAGAATAATAGTTGTTGTTATAATTAATATAACAATAATTGGTCTTATTGTTATGATTGATAGTTATTATCGTAAAAATAGTGATGATAAGTGATGATAATAAGATTACTAGTAGCAGTAGTAGTTGTATTAGTAATAGCAATATTGGTTCAACCTTGATAACTGTGGTTTAACCTTGGTGTAAGTTTGGTCAAGTTTAAACCTGGTTTTAACCATGCTTGACGAGATATTTTCTGGGCATGCAAGGAGGATGATGGCCGAGAATCCATTGGATATAATGTGAAAATAACCAACAAAAATTGGAAATAATCGTTTGCCCAAAAACAGATTGAAAAGTTTGAAGTAAGGTAAATATAATCTGGTCTATGCCTCCTGAAAAAACTATGTTTGTGGGTGCTTCGATATATTGATCGTAAGGATAAGATTGATATATAATATGCAGCCAGCAACTATAATCGGATATACTCAGATAATGATGCAGACATAAATCGAGAGTTTTTTTGGAAATGAGTTCAACAACCTTGGACCCTGGTGAATTTGACGGTGAAAGCGGGCAGGAAATCTGTGGTAGTTCTAGATATTGACCTTTTCAAATATGGTGTAGTCATCCTCATCTTTAATAGAATTTGTGGCAGGGATGACAACTATTCATGCAAATCTTTTATTTTTAAGATTTGAGTTTGGGATCTTTTTCCATCTCCAAGGTGAAAAACATGTAGGATTCATGTTTTAAAAGATCGCTTTGAAGATTTGCGGGACCCCAAGGTCGTAGAAAAGTTGTGGATAGGGTTCCTATTCCACCTCGGTTATTTGGGACAGGTTGCTTTGTTAGCACTTGATAAAGAATATATGCACATATATATATATATATATATATGTATGTATGTCTATGTGTATATATATATATGCATTGTAATATGTATATATATATACGCATGATAAAATATATATAGTATATTATATATAATATAAATGGTATATTATATAATATATATAGTATGTTATATATATAGTATATTATAATATATATATATAGTATGTTATATATATAGTATATAATATATATTATATATATAGTATGTTATATATAGTATATAATATATATTATATATATATTATATATATATATATGTATATTATATATATATGTGTGTCAAATAAAGAACTTAAATGGTCTTATTTTGAAGTATGACATTCATTGTCGAAAATATTCGAAAATGCAACGTGCGGGCAGAGATAAAAGCAAACCATCAAAAACAAACGCCTTGCATCTGACCATGAGGCTCGAGTGGACTGCAGCATGAAGGTGGTGTGCTGGCAATGCTGGCGAAGTACGACTGCTCAGCTGTCCACTAGACATCGAGTGGGGGATACAGCGGTATAGCCTGTTACAGATCTCAAATTTCATCCTTTCCAGTTATTAAGTTGTTTCCTCTTTGAGCAGGCAGCTGGCAATTAGCGATTCCCACCTCAAAGAAAAATCCTACCAGTGGCAAGGCATACACCTACTTAGCAGGTGTGACAGTCATGGAACGATGTGATGTGCCCAGTGACTGTCACATAGACCATGACAATGAAAATCTGATGCAGTTTGCGTTTCTGGTTTGCACCTTCCAAAAAAAAACTGCAATGGTGGTCATTTTTTGCTGTTCGCGAGGTCCCTCGATTTAAATGATGTCAACGGGCGTGACGAAGGGATGCGAAGGGGACAATTCCATCAAAGCTAACGATTCATCGGCCTTGATGCTATGAGATAAAGAAAGAAAATGCGCTTCCATAGTAGCACAGAGCAGCAGAACGAAGAATTTCACCCAACATCATGTCCCATATCCTGCCAATCACTAGAACCATACTGAAAACTGATGCTTTCTCTTCCTGCGCTGGATTCAACGAAAAACTCACTAAACTCAACTAGTTCCGAAACGCTCACCACTGTCAGAAACGCTTACTGCACGCAGCAGGATTCTGGTGACCGGGAGCCGAGGCCCGACGCTGGCGCCGCTGGCGCCCCTCATCGGCAAGCCACTGGGGTTCCCCATCCCACACAGCCGAAACAGCGGAGTGATGAGCGAAAAATGGGGAATGTCTGTATGATGAAATTGTGCTTGTATTCAACTATTTCGCATATTGATGTTTTTTATATCATATCTGGGAATTTGTCTGGGTGATTCTGGGTGTGTCTATAGAAATATACATATATCTCATATGTGATACTTGATGCCTCGGACATCTTGCAGATCGGTATGCAAGCCTTGCCACCTTCTGGTTCCAAGCTTAACAAAATCGCTTTATGCACATATTGGTGTGACTGCTTTGCCAAAACTTCCTAGAAACCAATACCAAGAATTGCCCTTCTTTGTCTGCCTAGACTAAGTTGGCCCGGCTTCTGATGAAGTGAAGATAAGTGAAGCCTGGTACCGGACTTCAGGTGCGCGCACTTGGACAGCAAGAATAGCTTCCCACTGAAGCTTCTATTCGACTTGCCAAGACAACCGCCGATTCGAGCGCTTTCATTGGCCTCACTGGGATTTGATTTGCCTTGAGCGGCATGGAATCATGGAGCGCTCCTTCTATGAGCTGAGTCGAGTCTCATTTTGTGAGGTGCCATGCTTTGCCGGAACCCCCTTTGAAACTGTGCGCTCTTCAGCTTAGACAACCTGGATTGAGACCCGGTTCCTATCAAAATCGAAGAGACCTCTTTCTCATGAGTTGAGAGGCAAAGGAACGAACGGTTTCAAGCGTGACCTGCAGTCTGGAGCGATCGATGTTGTCTTCGTTGGAAAGGCTGTTTCGATGACTGGGATTTTATTGATGTGTTTTGCTGAGCCATGATTTTCACCTCCAAATCACACCAACGGGAAAGTAAAAGTCCAAATTAAGCATCTGGAAGGCCTTTGAATCAAACACTTGCAACGGGACCGCTGCTCCTTTGTTGCTGTGTGCAGATTTGGGATGAGCATCCTTTGCTTCTGGGTTTCACTGCTCCCACGAAAGAATAGCCAAACACCCTTTATTTATGTCAGCCAAAAAAATGGCACCCGGTCCCACGTACAGGCTTGTTGAAATCCTTCCGGAAAGCAAGCCGCACAGCATACCGGAAGGATACTTTGTTGTGAAAACGTCGACCGGACTTCAGGTGCTCGCACTTGGGCAGCAAGATAATTTCCCATTGAAGTTTCCTTCCATTTCACTGGTACCAATTCATCCAAATTCGACACTTTGAAGGCTTTTGCAGTGAACACTTGCAACACTAATTTGTCACTGTGCAGGTTTGGGATGAGCATCCCTTGCTTCTGGGCTTCACTGCTCATAATACTCAAACACCCTTCATGTTGAGAAAGACAGGTTTGTCAGAGCCCAAAAATTGCACCTTCTTCCACAAGAAAGACAGAGACCATCCTCTTGGACTGGGAGTTCTGTATTTTCTTTGCCAGTCATCACTCGCATGGTTTGTACTGTCCACTTCTTGACAGTACAGCTGTGTTTGGACACCATACATGGTCCAATGACGGATTTGACAACTGTCACTGGCACATTCTGTCGGGGAAATGTTCAAATTGCTTCAGGTTTAGTATCCCAATGAACCTTTCTATCCACCCATGAACCCTTCTGCTTGACAGTCTGTCTGGAGAGCTTCAGTCAAGATGTCACGCTTCAGCTGAGCCTGCTCTTCAGCAAACTGGAGATGAATATCAGGTCCTGCAAACGACCATGTCTCGCTCATTCAGGGGAAGCTGGGGATGTAACCCATAAAAGTGGGGGAGTTGAATGGCTAATCTCAGCTATTCTCTGTTTAACCGTTAATCATAGTTCATCTCTATCTTCTAAAAAGAACAACCTTTCTTGTTGCGCCATGAGAACATGATTTCCGCACTATTTTTGGAAGGCGGTCCTGTCAGGTCGCTAGAAACTTGAGGCTAAAGGGTAAGGAACGATTCCTAGGGTGGGTCGAACCAAGAAGACGTAGAAACAAACCCTGACTTCTTCACCTGTGGAGCAGTCATAAGGCGTCGAAACTCCACTCCCCCCATCTAGATGAGCGTTTGAAACACAAATCCTTGCAGGCGTAAATCTCTTGTTGAAAGAAATGCACCTTGCTCACGAAGATGCTGAATCAATATGAAACCAATGTTGCTACTGCTGCTGGTGATGATCTTGGACAGGAGGAAGAGTAGGGGAGCAGGAGAACGCAGATGATGAGATGATGATGTCGAATCATAGTGATGAATACATGCACTGCTACTTTCGCGATGTCTCCATGAACATCAGGAGAAAACGAGGGAAACATATGGAAAAATCATATATCGCCGGCATGGTTTGTGGAGATTCGCTAATGAAAACAAGGCTGTATTTATATGGTTGAGTTTCATTTTTTCAAACTCTATTTGCATTGTTATTTTTTCTAGTTTTCCAGACCTCCAAATCCTCAGCCATTGCTGCCGTGGAGGGAGTGGGGGTAATGGGGTATGGGGGGAATTCCTGACCCGCTCAAAACGGAGGCTTCAAAAATGCCATAAAATTCATGCTTGGGTTTGAAAAACTGGTTTTGAGTAAGGTTCCCCTTTTGGCTGGATTTGAATTGTTCAATCTTCATTCTTTGTGTTTTTGGGAGACATGTTTTTAAGCGACAATATTGTAAAGAGAGCCTCTCTGCACGCCTGTCTCTGCGCCTTGCCTCCACACCTCCTGACCTTCCCCAGCAAAGCGACAGAAATCACCTTCAAGACGCATTAGTTCTGCGGCTGCGAACTCAATTCGATCATGAAAACACGCCCACCGCAACTGCCGCGCAACTGACGCTACCATCCACCAACGACCTAAACACGTTTACACGAACAAACAAAGTGTTGCACTGCACGTAACTTCTACCTCTGAAAATGCACCTTGATGCAACATGTCCACTGTGCAAAGTCTCACAGAGTTGCCCAAAGTAGCACGACAGAACACGCATACACTCAAGGCCCCTTCAACGCAGCAATTCCATTGTGCAAAGTCACCAAGAGATTGCAAAAAAACAAAGCACAAGAGTGCACTTCAACCTGAGTCACCTGGACGCAGTTCAACTGAGCGAAAAAGAGCCATGACTTGAAAAACACCAAAGCATGAGAGTAAAAAAAACGACACTGATCGAAATCACCTTGACGCAATGGTTAAGCCACTGCGAGCAGCAAATCGACCATGAAAATGCGCCCGCCGCACCTTGATGCAGCATTTTCACCGCGCAAAGACTCACTGAGTTGCAAGAAAACATAAAACGACGTGATGTCGAGGGTGTGTGAGATTGAGATGCTGTGAAGTTTAGATTACATGAAGTTGAGATGCTGTGAAGTTTAGATGACATGAAGTTGAGATGCTGTGAAGTTTAGATGACATGAAGTTGAGATGCTGTGAAGTTTAGATGACATGAAGTTGAGATGCTGTGAAGTTTAGATGACATGAAGTTGAGATGCTGTGAAGTTGAGATGCTGTGAAGTTGAGATGCTGTGAAGTTTAGATGACATGAAGTTGAGATGCTGTGAAGTTTAGATGACATGAAGTTGAGATGCTGTGAAGTTTAGATGGCATGAAGTTGAGATGCTGTGAAGTTTAGATGACATGAAGTTGAGATGCTGTGAAGTTGAGATGCTGTGAAGTTTAGATGACATGAAGTTGAGATGCTGTGAGGTTTAGATGACATGAAGTTGAGATGCTGTGAAGTTTAGATGACATGAAGTTGAGATGCTGTGAAGTTGAGATGCTGTGAAGTTTAGATGACATGAAGTTGAGATGCTGTGAAGTTGAGATGCTGTGAAGTTGAGATGACATGAAGTTGAGATGCTGTGAAGTTTAGATGGCATGAAGTTGAGATGCTGTGGAGTTGGGATGGTGTGAAAGTTGGGATTATGCAGAGTTGAGAAGGTGTGAAGTGCGGACTATGTGAGCTTGGGATGATGTGAAGGGGGGATTTTAAATTCATCCGCAACTTTGGTGGTTCTGCTTGAGACGTCCTTTTATTGTATACCTTTCGAAAAAGTGATTTTTGGCTCCTTCAACCCGTCCCCGTTCATGGTAGGACAGGACAAGTTTGTCTGAAAATAGGGAACCCTATTCCATCTCATGGTTAAAGAACTTGAGGCCCAGGGGTAAGGGACAAAAGCTTGTGCCGTTTTTGCTGCCGGCGACATGCCAATGGTGTCCCCGTGGGGGATTGAGCCACGGCCAAACTGCTTGTGAACCAGCCAGGGGGGGGAGGCTCGGAGGGGGGGTAGTTAAATCATAGTAAGTACGGAGTTTTTTTTAACAACAAACCCACGGAGCCGACC